GAGGTGTAGAAGGGATCAGGTATCAAGCATCAAAGAACAAAAAATGATATAATTGTAAATGAGGGGGAGTGCAGAGTGGAGACCCAAAACCCATCTGTAGGTAAGTAATTTTTTAAAAAGATCATTGCTTTAATGAATGGATTAATGTATTTGTATTAATAATATATTAATAATGATATGTAAGTGGCACAAATGATTTGTGCTTGACTACTAACCAAAGTCTGATCTTTTCAACTCATCCCGTGGTCATTGGGAAGAAAGGCCTGGTTTTCTGCTCTCATGAAGAACACAGTCATGATAAGCCTATAGAACAAGTCTACTATGTGTGTTATACCTGGGTTTGCCATGGCTCGGGACGGACTTGATAGTAATCTTGTTCATGACATCAAATCTTATAATAGCTGCCAAATATCTTAAAAAGGAAATAATATTGCTGCCCAAATAGGCTTTTTTGAACTGTTAAAATCACCACTTTGATGAAGAAACTACATAGTCTGTATACTTTTTTTTGGATGAATCTGCATGATATGAAAAGTGTTAGTCCTTTCATGAGCATTGGATGTGAATGGCTGTTTTCATCATAACCAATTCAAACATTTCTTTATTTCGTCAGATGGAGACACGGAGACGCCTGGCTAAAATCGTGCTGGTCTTCGTGGGCTGCTTCGTCTTTTGTTGGTTTCCCAACCACGTCCTCTACCTGTATCGGTCCTTCAACTATAAGGAGATCGACCCATCTCTCGGTCACTTGATCGTCACCTTGGTAGCCCGGGTTCTGAGCTTTTGCAATTCGTGCGTAAATCCATTTGCTCTGTATCTACTCAGTGAAAGCTTCAGGCGGCATTTCAACAGCCAGCTCTGCTGTGGCAGCAAGTCCTACCCAGAGAGATCAACCAGTTATGTACTCAGTTCTTCAGCAGTGCGCATGACATCGCTGAAAAGCACTGCTAAGAACGTGGTGACCAATTCTGTTTTGCTAAATGGACACAGTGTGAAGCAGGAAATAGCGCTTTGAGTCGGGCCACTTATCTCCTGACTAAGAAAGAACTCACCATTTTCTTCCCCTATTGAGCAGAGCAGAAGGAGACAATTCTCCCATTCTTACTATTGTTCAGCCACTTTATTAGACTGATTTCACGATTACTCAGAAAAATAAATATATATATTCTCTGAGTAGGTCTTTACATTTCATTATTGCTCACATTAAAAAAACACACGATTCAAAAAAGCCATTTGAAAGATGTATAAATCAATATTGTTTCAGGATTTAGGCTATTACTGGAGTCAATTCTAGTGCAATTATCTTCAAGTCGTTTTATCTTGAGGCATGAAATAAATTCTGATGTTGGCTTAACTGTTCAGTGAGGGTCACTCAAACTCTTCTTATTTGAAATACAAATCATACCTTCATGATTAATTTCACTGATCGCTAATTCATATGCACATTTTGGCCATTTGAATAAAATGGTAGACATTTCAAAAATAGACCGTAATTAAAAACAATTAATATATTGAGTTCCTTTGTATTATTACTCATAATTAGTAACAATAGTTAATTTCTGTAAATTTAAGTATATGATTAAAATATTTAATACTTGTATATTGCATAGTTAAAAAGAATATTATATGAATGCAAAATAGGTATCTTGTGTCTCCTATAGAATAACATGGATATCTTTGTAGTTTCTATTAAGTTTCTGACTCTTTCAATGATTCTGCATGAATAAGATATTTGTATAATACTTGTGTAATTCTGATAAAGCCATTTACTCACTCTCTTTTGTAATAGCCACATTTTAATCTGCATGATATAACAGCATTCTCTGAATCAGTGTCTTGGGTTTCTTCATTGAACTACAAATATGATTTGATTAAATTCTAAAAGCTATCCACATTTAGGCATGCATTAATAAATCTGATATTGAAATCAATGTATCTCATACTTTTTTTTTCAAAGTTGGTGAGTAGAAGAAGTAAATTGAAAATTTGGTAGGTGAGTTATGCTAAGATCTTTCTTAAACACACCTAACCTGTACTACTTAAGATATGAAACATTCATTCATATATAGCAGAGAAAAACAAATATGATCAAATTTCCTGATAGTTGATAATGATAATAATAATCAACATCTATAAAATTTTCTCCATGTTTTAGCCATAATTAAAAAGCTTTAAATATATTATCTCCTTTATTCCTCAATATATCCCTTGAAGAACAAGAGATGATAGGGTAGAAATATCTATCTACCTACCTATGTGTAAAAGCTTACTATATCTATGTGATTATAAGATGATATATGTACATATCTATATGATGATAAGACTATATATGCACATATAAAATTAAAATAATATGTATGCATCTTAAATATATATTCCTGCTAGACAATTAACATTGTTATGGTGTAGTGGTTGGGTATTGGGCTGCTAATCATAAGGTTAGCAGTTCAAAACCACCAGCTGCTCCTTGGTCATAGATGAGGCTTTCAACTCCTGTAAAGAGTTACATTTTCTGAAACCCACAGGGGCAGCTCTATCTAGTCCTACAAAGTCACTATGAGCAGGAATCACTCAATGACAGTGAATGAATGATATAATATGATAACTAATTTGTTTTTCAAGAATGAAAACATTTATTCATTAAACATATAGAAAATTTTCATTTGCATATGTTGTAGAAAAAATGTTCTGTGTTATGAAACGAATTTGAACACTAATGGTGCCAGAAATTACAGGTCTATTACTAGAAAAAATGATTTTAACAATAGCTACATATCTATTAGTAAGACTGACCATTAGAATGTTCCTTCTATTATATTATTTTTATTTTCTTTTTGGACACTTTTATGTTAATATTGAAAGTCAGCAGTTCTCTTAATGTTGAAACCTGTAACTTGTTAATACTTCTAGTTAAATTTATAGGTTCCCAAGGGTTATTTATTGAGTTTGGTTGTTGTTTTCTACTAATAGTCGTAATTCATTTACCCTGCGAGCTCTGAGATATTGCACTATGCTTTCAAATGATCCCTTTGTTTGGAATAGATACCTGAGTTATTGTATTAGTATATATACTATGGAATATGGTCATACTAAATATAATATTTGAAATAAATTATTCAATATTTGTTTTTATCATGCACCTTCCAAGTCAAACAAATCTTTGTGCCTTACACAGATGTATGTCTGAACTTCAAACTTCAAATGCACATGTATGAAGTTGGGTTTATATCACATTAAAATTAGATATTAAGTTCTGGCATGTATTGGATTTTAAATATGTTTAATCTTTATGTTCTGGATTAAGATAATTTATTTTGAATGCTATTTATATTAACTTCTAGGCATTTGAAAATTTTAATAGTTCTTACTTTCAAAGAACAAAGTCAAAACAAATAATTCCAAACTCACTTTTAAAATCACCTTACAGAAGTGACAGAAGAATGATGCATGTTTGCCAGAAATACAAACCTTCTCACTACAAAATTGGTTTAAAGAGAAACATACAGAATCGCATGGACCCTAAAGATAATGACTTTCCTGATTTACATGGTTCTGGCTAGCAGTTTCTTAAAGCAAGAAAATATTTCAAGAAAATATTCTGTCTAATGTGATACTATCTGCCATAGAAAAGAGAAAACTTAACAAATTATTATTTTTTTCATTTTATTTATTTACTTATCATTTTATTGGGGGCTCTTACAACATTCCATACATCAATTGTATCAAGCACATCTGTACACATGTTGCCTTTACCATTTTCTTTAAAAAAAAATTCATTTTATTGGGGGTTCATACAACTCTTACTACAATTCATCCATCCATCCAGTGAATCAAGCACATTTGTACATTTGTAGCTGTCATCATTTTCAAACAAATTATTAGTTTTAATGTGGACATAGGATTGTTTTCTTACATGAAACATGTCTTCAAAAAAGGAATAGCTTAAAATAAATAACTAAATTAAAGGGATCCTGGGAAACCTGGGCCCAGAGAATCTTTAAAATGGGGTATCAACACGGTGAAGGTAAAAATAAATAATGCAAGTAACTACTGAGTGTTCAGTAAAATAGAATTTCAATATAATCATACTTTAAAGTAAATTTTCTCACGAAATAAGATAAAAATAAATTGCATCCATTACCAAAAGGAGCCATGGTGATATAGTTGGATATGCTTTGAGCAGGCTAACTCCAAGGTCCCCAGTTTGAAACCATCAGCCTCCTCCACCGGAGAAAGATGAGGCTGTTGACTTCCATCACGACTTACACTCTTGGAAACCCAAAGGGGAAGTTCGACCCTGCCCAATGGGGTCTTTCTGAGTCAGAATCCACCGACGGCAGTGAGTTTGGGTGTGAGTTTTTCCATAGAGGTATTCCCTCACTTTTTGAAAGTTTGATTTATGCCATTTTGTTTTTTATGAAACATCGACTTTCATCCAGTACCTATTTTCGCTAGTGGAAAGATATCCGAAAGGATTTCCCGATAAGAGGACATAAGCGAACATAGTTTTCAGCACTTACTTTGCAGCAGTCTCCTCGGGAGGCAGCACACACCAAGGCACAGCAACAAAAGGGGCTTGGCCAAAGTCTTCCGAAGCCTTGGGTAACACGCAGTATCTCAGCACCCGGCCGCCACTACGTCAAACGGCATCTGCGAACTCTATATGTAAATGTTCTTTTAAGATCTGTGAATTTTCTGGCATGGTTTGGTAGGCCATTTTTTGATCAATAAACAGAAAAACTTACAATATGAATGAGTGGTAATTGCGTCTTCGATTTAAGCCATTTTGGCTTATCACAAGGTTCACAGGAAAACTACTTACAGCTCTGAGGGGAGCCTGTTCCACAGTCTTCACATAAGTGCCACCTAAGGGCTGCCGAGGCAGGTGCTCTTCTGCTTTCCATTCTCTGATGAGGAAACTGGAGATTCGTAAGCAGTTGAGTTCATGACGGAGGACTTTGTTGTTGAACTCTTGTCTATTTCACCTTAAATTTTTTTTTTCAAGCCCTGCTCTTTTTTTTCATTATCCCACAGGGTCTGGAGTCAGGACTGGCTGCAGAGGGGCTGAGCTGGGAGCCATCTGTGATGATATTCCCACTCTTGTGGAGTATTCTCAATGGGAAAGTCAGAAATGCATTTATTTAATTCATTTATTTTTAAAATATCATTTTATTGGGGGCTCGTACAACTCTTTGCAACCCATCCGTGCATTGTGTCAAGTGCATTTGTACATTTGTTGCCATCATCATTTTCAAAACAATTTCTTTCTACTGGAGCCCTTGGGATCAGCTTCTCCTTTTTCCCCTCCCTCCCCCACCTTAAATTTATATGCTTAATCTCTAGTCAATATTGCCAGAGAGAAATGAGAGACAGAGAAAAAAACAAAACAAAAAAACAGAACAGTTTTCTGAGTTATTCCTTGTGGTTCCTAGAATAAAGATAACGACTTAATTCTAAATTTCTGGGCTACTGATAGGTATACCTTTATAACTTCACTGCCATTGAGTCAATGGTGACTCATAACGACCCCTTGTGGGCTTCTGAGGCTGTAACTGTTTATGACACTAGAAAACCCAGTCTTCCTCCAGAGGAGCTGCTGGTGGTTTTCGAACTGCCAATCATGAACATCGCAGCCCCACTGCGTAACCACACCACCACCAGGGCATCAGAGAATTGATGATTTATGCCCCCAATTCCTCCAGCATTTTGTGCATGTTAGTAAAAAAATGGGAACAGAAAAATTAACAATCAACAATTTTTGGATATGAAAATATTGATTTTATTTGACAATTTGTTAGAACGGGTATTAAATGAGCCCAACAGATTCATAGGAACTCTGATGGCATGGAGTCATAAAACAGTTCATGGATTTTGAACAAGCCATAATTTTTCCATTTACTAATATTTTACTACAGATTTCATTACTCACTCAGGAAATGTCACCATTAAATTTCTGAGAAATGTTTCAAATCTCAGGCTTCTCTTAGAACAAGCATATGAATTTCAACTTCAAATAAATGGCTTGCCTAGATGTTTAGAAAAAAGCACTAGATGTCAGTAAATATGACCAGTGATGTTAGAGAAAAGCATGTTTTGGAAATAGATAAAAGAAGGTGGAAAAGGGGATGCTCCAGAAAGCCTGGTTATAGCTGCATCTCATGATCATTGGAGAAAACATTTACAGGTTATGGTTGCTGTATTTTACAC